TTTAAAATTTTTGATTTTTAAAAAATTTTAGAGCGGATAAATTTTAATTCCTAAAATCACTTCATATTAAAAAAAATACAGTGTAAGATATATACTGAAACCACAACTTGTTCTCATGAAGAAAACATGTTAATGTGATACATGCTAAAAGTCTTTTAAAACTAAAGAAAAAAAATCATTGTTTCATATATCAAATGACAAGCGTTTTTATTCAACAGCACAAGCGTATACGTACGGCACGCTAAATATTATACAAATATGGACTCAATGTAGGTCAATATATTGCATTTATAATATCCCAGAAAAAGTAGACGATATGACCAAAGATACTTATAGTATATCGACCTAGGTCGGTAGCCCAAGGTCGATATACTCCATGTATCTGAGGTCAATATATATAGTAATAGGTCATTATAAATCATGTGGCTTTTGCATTGAGTATTTATTATATTATATAAATGATAATTTCCAAAACTTATAAGTACAATGTATATCTTCCTTATGTTTACAGAGATAGTATTAACCATAACGAAGTTGAATGTAAATGTTTCAGAATTTATTGAATGTCACTTAGAGGAACTTCTTTCGGTATTGAATTTTAACCCATACGGCCACAGCATAATAATAACGCAAGATATCTATCTCCGAGTAAAACAGAGTACCCCCTACCCCAGATTGAGAATCGCTCTATATACACTTGCAGAGGAAATACAATGACAAAATAAAAATGCCTATCCATCTCTCTTCTACGATAAGATTAAACCATACATGGCATTCTTGACAATTGTCTTTATTGATCCGTTATCGCGTAAACAGCGTCAAAACTCTGTTCGCCGAGTGGAAAAGTCGAATTCAACTATGAAATGGTATGTGCTAAGAATTCCCCAAAAATGTTCACAGATATTCGTGTAATTGGTCTTGTATTCCCAGCCTCAGAGTTCTTTACTGTATGTTTTAAATTTTCCTCACCTACAACTTGCAAAGTTGCTTCCATGTTTGTCTAAAGCTAAACTGAAAACGAGGCAGTTCGTGCAAATTATTATTCGCTTTCAGCGGTCGTTTTTAAGTAATTACTTTGTATTCAGCTATCAGATAGCCGGATTTCACAAAGTTATATGATATTTTCAAATAATTGTAAATATCTTCAATATTCTACTCGTCTTCAAAATTATTTTACTTTTCATCAAAGGAAATAAAGATTTAATATTGATAAAGTTACCTTTTTCTTAAATTCTATATGTTCAAAGCTTATTAGGAATCCTGTCTACACTACACACTAAAGAGTTCTGATCTTATGGTATTTTTTGCTGTTAAAGTGGTCTGCCCATAGATATTATTTCTAAATAATAGAATTTCACAGTATAGAACACTGTACACAATTTGTAATCAATTCAAGTATAATTGACATTTTGAAAGGCCATGATAAATCAATTGAACAATTTTTTCACAAGAATCATAGAGTGAAAATAAATGTTAGAAGCTTTAAATTAACACCTTTATAGAACATAGTTTTCTCAACATCGTACCCCTTTCAATCATAAGAGAATGAAATTCTTCCAGTTTCTGCGAGACTGATCCTTGAAGAACATCAATGGTACTCGCATCCATAACAAAAGCTACACAATGTATTTTATCCTGAAAGGTAGGTTTTGTATTAAAGCCAGGGTATTTTTCGGTAGCATGAGCCGCAGGATTAAACTAAAAATTAAAGCGTAAATAAGAATTATTTTTTTTTTAGAATATTTTCCGTTTTAAATTTATAGGCAATGAATTTTTGAATAAAACGTATGGAGATATCCATTCCCTAAAAATTTCCCAAGTAATAGAAAATATGCTCAAAATTTATTTTCGATAATTAAGTCAAGAAACCTACGTTGTTGATTTTGATTTTCGTGCATGCTTTACTAATCCATCATATTCATTAAGAAGTTTTTTTTTTGCATGATGAAAATTTATATTGCAAATTATCAAGTGAGATTTCGAATTTGCTCAATAGATTTTTCTAAAGTAGATGGTAAAAAATGCAAGTATTTCTATTTATCACCTGCATTTTTGTTTACCTTGTGTTGATCAGGGAGATGTCCGTCTAATAAGGATACCATATCCTGATGTTTGATGCACATATCTTCCTCAATTCCACGTGTATCACAGAGGCGGAAGTTTAAATAGCCACCAGTTTCCGGGTTTCTAATTCGATATTTTCGATACTACAGTGTAATTATAAACAAAAAATAAAAAAAAAAAAATCACTGAACATTTAACATATGTTTAATAGTACATTTCAATTCTCAATTTTCATATGAAAATTTATTATCAAATATCTTCCCTATTCTCTTGAAAATAATCAAGTAATCTAATCTTCCGAAATTTAAAAGATTTTTTAATTTATAATAATAATGAATTGTCAAAAATTTTGTTGACAGTTTCATTTGTACGAATAAAAGTTAGGAAAAAAGTTATAAATATTTTGAATGTTTTTTTTAATGTAAGTTTAAAAATCAGTTTCCGAAATCAGTTCCAAATCCTGAAAAGTTTATTGCATCAACCATGGAACAGATGGGCAAAACACTACTTACAACTGTAGTAAGACTATGTTTTGAGTTTCCTGCGCATGCCCGAGCAGTCACTTCCTCTCGGAATATTGAGTTTACAGTGTTGAAAAAACTGGATTTCCCAGCTCCAATCTGGCCTACTAATAAGATGTTCACTTCAGATAAACCCGAATCGTCTAAGGGTTTATAATTGGAAACTCTGTCCTTTAATTTTCGAAATGTCTACGGAAAAGCAAACATTGCATGAAAAAGAACATTAACAAATCCGCTAAATCAAACCTACACTAACTTGTTGAAAAATCAACACAGTTCTTTTCAGACACTTGGAATCATTTCCCTCTATTATCATTTTCAAGTTTATCAAAAGTCGGAAAAGTCTTTGTAATATAAGAAATTACTCAATCAAAAAATGCTAAATAATTACTTGCTCAAAATGAATTAAGAGCAAAAGAAAATGAATTAAAATCATTTTTGCAAATTTTATACCCTGGGCACATCACGCAAGTTTCATAACCGTTCATATAGATAACCTGTATTTAACAGTGATATGAAAATGATAATAAATGCAAGCTATGTACTGTTTTTTTTTTATCATAAACACAATAAAGCGTCAATCCTGTCCTGTCCTCGGAATTGTGTTCAGTGTTTGATAAAACTAGAAAGTGTACAGTGGATTCATAGGTATCAATATACTCCTTATATAATGCTTTCTTCCGTAGGCACATGCTTTTGGGTGAAAAATATTTGTAAATTAAGATAATAGATACAAAACATATCTCGACCACACTTTCTTTCCCTTCGAAAGCCTACAACCCGTAAACAACATAGTATACACCTCGCATGTTGGGATATGCACGGTGAATTATCCATATTCAATATAAAGATTCAAAGCATTACATAATGATGAAACATATGTTCTATGGATAAATTCATTGTAGCAATAATATAATAAATAGAAAAACTAGAGGTACTGCTGTGAGCACTAAGCTCATCAAATGATACCCCGTCTCCCATATGATTAAAATGGCGAAATCCATGTTTTGTTCTGGGAAACCCGAACTAAGTGTCAAATCAAAAAGTAAAATAAGAGGAATCGGATTTGTACAATGACATTCATCGTCGGAAACCCACGACCAATGTCGCATACCTTATTAAGCGTGTGCGAGATTGGCCGTGGGCTTCCGACGATAAATGGCGTTATATAACAAAAAATTTGTGAAAGTATCATTAAATTTTATTCATTGGTATACGAGGAGTTGTGGATAGGAGATGGGTATCCTTCAACATGTATATTCTTCACAGAATGTCAGGTCAATGTTTCGGTATAGAATACCCTAAATATATGTGCGATTAAAAAATTAAATAGGAGGCGCGAAATTCTCATTAAATTTCATTCAGTAGAAGAGGAGGGGTTCCTTATAAGAGATGGGTACCCCAAAACGTAAGAGACGGAGGGACGTATACATACAGACAGACGAACGGATAGACGGACACCCCGATGACTATTTACCCTTCAACTTTTCAAGCGGGGTACAATAAGCAACACACAATCGTTCATTGACATTTTACTGATCCATGCGAAATAAAGTGCAATGATAAATTCTCTTGATAGGCCAATATGTAAACATGTACATATATAAAAGGTACTAAAGCTCCCGTAGTTTTTCCTTGTGGTTTGGTTCAGTGCAGCGGTTATCCTGCACTGTGGGTTCAACCACTGCGGTATCATTTCTCGTAGTCAATCATCTTAGGAACTTAAATGTGTTACATGTAGGCAAAGTGTAAGCATTGATTAAAATTGTTTTTGACGTGCCATGAAATATATAAAACTACTCAGCTATAAATTGCCTAAATCTATCAATATGAAATATACCTGCAGGTTTTGGCATCATCGATCTTTCAATAAAAATTGAGATGATATATGTAAAATAGTTCCTTGTAGTACATTATACCTACCATATATATTGATTGTATATTGTTTAACGTCCCTCTCGAGAATTTTTTCACTCATATGCAGACGCCACCACTTACCGATGGAGAGCTGCAAATTTTGTCCTATACTTGGCACTCATGGCCATTGAGCAGGGAGGGATCTTCATCGCGCCAGCACCTACTGCGACACGGGACCCAGGTTTATACGGTCTCATCCGAAGGAGCGGTCTCCACGTCCCACAGTGGGATTCAAACCCGCGACGTTAGGATTGAAGCTAGGAATGAACAATTTATACACACTGTGAAAACAAAACTAAGAATGGCTCTAGTAATATTTGTCATTTATTAATGGCACCAAGAAAAGAAAGACTTGAAAATCGGGATTTCTGTAATTGGGTCAATATAAAAAAAAGCAGCTAAATGGTTCACATGAAAATTGGAGATACAATTAAATATTTTCGTGTCTTTTTTGTATCTAAGTTGATAATGCTGCACAATATTTTGGGAAAACAACATTTAGCAAACAGTAGGGAAGCTATTTTTTTCAGAATGTTCTCATAAAAATTATCAAACTGTGTTTTTCTGTCATTGGTGTTACCTTATAATATTTTGTTGTATAGAACCAAATGAAAAACTTATGAATGCAAGCTTTGATAAATATTTACTAGGGTTATTCAAGTTTTCTGATAAGTCCAAAACTATCATTGTCAAGTGATGAAAATTAAGTTTTCAATCATATTTGGACATTGACATGAGAAAATAATCAATCATAAAATGATCTGGCTCTCTTATTTACCCTGGATAAAGTTAAAGTTTTGTACACATTGCTATTAGTTCAGCCAAAGAACACCTTTCGTAAAAGAGTTCAATTAATTTTCTAAATCGCTTTGAAATAACGATGGAAACACCACTGACAAAAGAAGTTTGAACTTTGTTTACATTCTTTACTTCTGAAGTTCATCAATATGTTCCTATCCTGAATATCAAGGAACAGTTTCTGTATTTGGTGAGAAGTGATGTAATATGACTTAGGACTGTTTATATTATCTTATCAGGAATGATAACTTTTTTGTAGCGAAAACAAAAATAGTAACACCATTGACACAACTTTCTTGTACGTTCATGTTTCCTGCTGTATCAGTTAAATAGAAGGTGGGGTTTTATTTTTTTTATTTTAAAATATATTCTATTTAACATTTGTTTTATGCATATATGATTTTTTAGACAACATTCTTATAAATTTTGTCGTATTTATCTTTATTTGAAGAGAAAAATTCCATTGACAGCATGAATTTGGCTGATTGGTGTGATAAAATCATCCATTGACTTTAATGAAATCAATTATGTGATATTTTCCATAAGTAAATAGAAAGTATAGATGTCATAGATTGTAAAGCAACAATCCAAAGTTGGGAGAAATAAGATTTTACACAGAAGTGACCACGTTTAAGTGTTTTTTTATACTGACCCATAAGTGCACATCGGAGCACAAAATCAAGCTTAATTACGCCAATTAAGCTTGATTAAGCTTTTATAACGTCATGATCTATTTTTCTGCTATACACGCGTCTGTTAATTTAACATCCAATAAATTAAATGTTTTTTAAGTGAAAACCAACTCTTGTCTGAGGGACTTATCTAGATTTACTACTGTCCTTTTTTTTAAAGAAGATTAGAAGACATTTAACAAACAGTACTCTTCTTATTTACATACGGTGACTATGTTCGGTTTAATCGCATACCCTTTAAAAACAACTTCGCTATTAGAATTAATGAGTAATGTCATTTCTATAGTCTTTTTTTCTCGTATCTGATGTATATAAACCATATCCAAAACAATTTATAACATTTCTGTCCGCCGGTTACGGGTTGAGGACGTCAATTTCAGCAAATTCATTCCAACAACACTTTGAAAATCAATAGACCAATCGTCTGTCTGATGCTATTTAAATAAAAATTGACATGTTATATAGATTTTTATTCTGATTATACTGTTTTAAATTTGAGTTCAATGTTTTACATAGTACCAAGGAAAGAAAGCAAAATTTAATGTAAAAGTTATATGCCTAAATTATTCCGAATTTCGTTCGTGCACCGACAGACCATTTCGGCCTTCATATAAATCGTTCCAATGTTAATATGAAGGATCTATTAACAAGAATACATAAATTTAGAGAACATTGAATATATTATGTTTATGCAAAATTTGGCTAGTTTTGGTTGAATGTTAAAAAACATCATAGTTTTGTATGTGGTTTTTTCTTTGGGACAACCCTCGTGAGATTAAATTAAATGATTTCTTGTATTGGCAAGTAAGTTATTGCTGGTGGAGCTTCTTTATTAAAAATATATATTAAAAAAAACGTGATTCCAAATAAATAGCAAACAACGAAAATTTACGCTTATTGAATTGATATTTCAAACCTTTAACTTTATACACCTCTAGGTCAAAGACACACATGTGATATGCGCACCACATAGGCTCATTATCTCCCCCATAGGCAAATCTGAAATCAGCTTTTCCATTTAGTACATAATCTGTGGTTCCTGTACATCTATCCACAGTTGGTTCTACAGTTCCATAAAATGTTAACAGATCTACAGTTGCATTATCAATTTGGTGGTTCTGAGGGGCCCCAGTTTTTCTAAAAGCCATTTTCTTATGCTTATGAACTAATTGTCTAGGTTCATCAACATCCAGAAGACTCCCTGCACCAAAGGTTGGCCCAAATTCCTTCGATGCAAATGCAGCATGTTCAGGTTTTATGACGGGATACTTCATTGGCTCTGAAACACCCCTGTCGCGTAAAGTGAAAATGAAGGCTTTTCTATCCTCTATGCTTGTTGATGGCCTTCCTACTTTCCAGTCTTCTGAAAGGAATCCTCCGTACACGCTATTATCAGTATCGTAAAGGACCGTTACTGTAGGACCTTTGTAGTCACAGGACTGGTGAAACCTTGTCGCCGAACAACCATCACGACTTATTTTATATAACAATTCAAAACTGCTGTTTTTGCCAATAAATGTTGATAACTGTGTCCTGTCCTCTAATGTCAATAACTCCTCGGACCTAAACAAACATTTTAAAAACGTGCACTTATTTCAGTAAAAATCGCAGTGAATTATATTTGATCATACAAAACTAAATCTGTAAACAGTTATTCTCAGTCAATTTTTTCAAACATCCATTTATCAATTTTAGATTTAATTCCATTTCCGACTTCCTTTCGTATTCGTTTTCAGTTTAGGAAACGATTATGACTGACGACGTCTATACCAATTGTTAGATAATTATTTTATTGAATTGGTTATAGAATTCCGTTTGCCTGATCATGACAATGAGCTCACGACTAATATAACCAGTCGACAGAGGAAGCCTACTCCTTCATGGTACCTGATCTCAACTCCGTTGTTTTAGAGATCCATTTCATTGCTCCTGATTGGTATTGTTTCCATGTAATTTTGAGTTTTAATACTATTCGCAATCTTTTTATTTCACAAATTCTTAAAATTTAAAAGGTGAAACCACTGAACGGTGATTAATCCTAAAATCATATAAACAATGCAAATTTGTCAGGAATAAAACTCTGACCCGTAAAATTTCAAATATTGATCAGGTGAATTTTATACAAAGAAGGATGCTTTATTATCGAAATCAAATGTAACATTTTTAAAATATACTAAATAAATAAAAAAAAGAAACGCATATTCAGATAACTTGATAGATTAACTTTCGTTAAAATTGTATTTTTTAAGTGATTAAGATGTTTGTGATAAAATCAAACAGGTAGTGAATTTTAAAATTATTCCCTTTTATTTCCCAAATTTTGGCATTGCCCAATAAATTAAGAAAAGCCCAAATTATTAATTAATTTTACGAAAGAATAATTCAGAAAGGAAATAAAAATGCCATTCATTTTAAAAACTTGACTTTTACAATTTT